TGTCACGGGATGACTTTTTCGGAGTCTTCCTTCCGTGCGGCCTTAGACTTGATCGCCTCTCGAACAAGCTAAGTCAGCCTCCTTCCTACAATACAAGATCGAACCAAGCAAAGAACAATCGCAAGAGCAAGAACAATAAGAATGCTTAACAGAGTTTGGGAGAATATATGCTTGTATTGCTACTCAAATGCTTTACAAGTTGTGATGTGAGGATACACAATGTGGCATCCCCCTTATATACTATCCCTATCCCACCTACCACCACAGTAGGTGGGTAAGATACAATGTCACCTACCAACATCTACCAACTACTGTCACCAACTGTAGTCTACCAACTACTATACAACGAATCTGGACATGTGGGCTAAGAGGTCTAGCATGATCAATCCAACGGGTTGGGCCTTGAACATGCGGGCCGTGACACTTGGTTATCCTGCAATATACTTAATAAGAACAAAGGTTGTGCAATTTTTGGTTTTACCTGTTGGTATATTTGGAAGTGGAGAAATCATTGTGTTTTTAATAGTGAGGAGGCTCTACCTTATTGCCCCCAAAATAGTATTTTGAAAGCTGCTAAGTAGGGGTGGACATGATACGGTACGGTACGGTACTGAACTCGTACCGCTACCGATACCGGAAATTAAAATCGGTATGGGATTATTGTTTGCCAAAATTGGTACCGTACTATACCGTGCCAAATCGGTATCGGTACCATTTTAGTACCAAATGACACAACTAAAAAATAAACCAATTCAATATTCAACATATTCATTAACCAAAATAAGTGGCATGCTTGGTTTATTTTTACATAAAGATTCTTGTTCTTATCTATAAACTTTGTCATAATACTCCTAATTTAAGTCCAATGTTGCTTGAGCAGTTCATAAAACACACAAACCATAAAAGATGATGATGTTCATAAAACAGACATCTTATAATCAATTGCATAATTATAGAACCACAAAACAGACAAACCATAAAACAGACATCTTATAATCAATTGCCACTTTTTTTTTCTTTCTTAATCGCCCCCACCAGTCAATGCTCAATTACTAGCATTTTAGTTCTCAGTAGAAATACATGACCACAAAACAGACAAACCATAATTGTAGAATCACAAAACCATAATTCGGTATGGTATCGAATATCTCTCCATTCCAAATAAAACGATATAAAATCGGTATGATGCGGTATAGTTAGCGTACGATTTCGGTATTTCGGTTTAGATGCCTACAGTGCTAAGGAGTTATTGCATGCTTATGTGTCTCAACCTCAAAAACTGAAAGTGTTGGTTTCTCTTGCTTGGGTTCCACCTGATGTGGGATGGTTCAAACTGAATGTGGATGGCTCTCGGAGATTTTCTAGCGGCACTATTGGGACTGGAGGGGTACTTCGTAACTGTAACGGGGATTGGGTTGAAGGCTTTACTGCTAGTTTGGGTCAAGGGCAGGTTTTGGATGCTGAAATTTGGGGTTTATTCTTTGGTCTGAAGTTAGCAGTGGCTTGCAACATCTCTCATCTATCTGTGGAGATGGACTATGCTTTAGTGGTGCAGCTCATACAAATGACTGATCCCATTCTTTTCCATCCTCTAACTGGCGTAATTATGGACTGCAGACATGTGATGGCCCAAATTGGTCAGTGTCGGCTTCATCATATTTACTGTAAGAAAAATTGTGTTGCAGATTACTTGGCTTATGGAAGCTTCAATAGAGTTCTATGCTTCTGAATTTATGATGTTGCTCGTAGTTGGTTAGCTTCCTTATTAGCTGATGATGTGTTAGGGTTGTCTTGAACCCGTTTGATTTGTTCTACCAGTGAAAGCAAATTACACCCTAAATAAGTTGGCCAAGATCAGATGAGATAGTGAGACTTCATGGGTGCCAGTATCTATTATTTCAGATAGAGATCCACGGTTTACTTCCCTTTTTGGGCGAGGTTAAATGAGGCTTTTGAAACTCACTTTCGGTTTAGTACTGAGTTTGTATAGTTTGCTTTTGGAGTGTTAACCATCTTTTTCATCCCAAAAAAAAATAATAATAAAAAACTATTAAAAAAAATAAAAGAAAAGAAAAGAGGAAGCAATGCTCCTTGCTCCGGGTAATTATTTTGTGGGAAATGGCAATAGTAGCCCTATTGTTTTCTGAAATGGTGATACTACCCTTATTATTTTGTGAAATTGATCGAAACATGTTATTTCTTCATCGTCCTCTCCAGGCGCTTCACTGAGCTCACTCTGTCTCTCTGACAATCTCAACTCCATCGACTCTCTAGTCCCTTACCATCCCATCTCATCGCTCTCACTCTCAAACCATCGAGTCTTCTCATTAGGCATATCGACGCCTCAGCCTGATATCTCATTTATTCGACGGTAAGTTCCTATCTCATTAAATTTTCCATTTTTGTGTTTTATACGTCTTTATTTTTTGGTAGAGTAGGCATTTCTGCTTAGGATTTTTCTTTTCTTTTTGGCGTTTTCGGGCTGTATTTTTCTTATTTGTTCCTTGTTTCTTTTGGGCTTATTGTTTTGGATTGATTTTGAGGCAGTTTGTTTATTTATTGGTTTTCTGGTATGGGTTTGATTTTGTTGTTGTTGTGTGATGATTGTGCTCCTGTGCGTTTTTGTGGATGATGGTTTATAGGGTTCCCAATATACATTGAAATTTTCCTTTATTCTGATGTATTTGGTCAGTGAATGTTTGAATGTTTAAAAGAAAACAGGGGTTGTGTTTTGTCAATTCGTTGCTAGTGGTTACTTTTTCCCCGTTGAATGCTCCCGCAGATCATGAGAAACCCACATATATGAAGTGAAATTTTTTCCTTCACGTTTTGTACCTACTTTGTGATTTGCTATATGCTGTCTGTTTTGATCTTATAGAAAAGAAGGGGGTGTTTTGAAGAAATTCGAAGTCTATGTTTGAGTATTTTCTTTTTCAGTATTTTTATCTTCTTTCTTCCAGAAAATGTGTCAGCTCTGTCGAGCCTTTTTGTTAGAACCATTGCTTATTTATGGACGTTGGAAATCTAAATGCATTATATCAAGTTAAATATATGACTCAAAGCTCAGCACATCCATTTTTTATTTATAGAACTTTGAAGCTCAGGGCTGTAACCACATGACGACCAAATCAGTAGTCCAAGACTTCTCATCTGACACTTCACGCCGACCCAATCCTTCTCCAATCTCTGTCAAGCCTGAGACTCCAGCCACTCTACGCCCTCCTCAACCACCTGCTAACTCAGACGTTCATATCGTACATGTACCTAGCTATTCCAGGTGGTTCTCATGGGACCATATCCACCACTGTGAAGTTCGATTCCTCCCAGAGTTTTTCGATTCTCACTCACCTTCCAAGAATCCTAGGCTTTACATGTACTATCGCAACAACATCATCAAGCATTATAGGGACAACCCTGCCCGAAAGCTCACCTTCACTGATGCCCGTAAGACTCTCGTTGGTGATGTTGGCTCCATTCGCAGGGTTTTTGATTTTCTTGAGGTTTGGGGTTTGATCAATTACTCCTCCGCTCTCAACAAGCCCCTTAGGTGGGAGGACAAGGACAGCAAGGCTGCCTCTCCGGTCGCTGAATCCCCCACAGGTTGTCCTGAGGACTCTTCCACTCCCAACAAGGAGAGCCCCAAGAAGAGAGTGTGCCATGGTTGCAAGTCTCTTTGTAGCATTGCCTGCTTTGTTTCTGAAAAGGTCTCTCATTCTTTTGATATCATTATTATAGAAGTGAACTGATTAACAGACTGACTGAAGCGTGATTTTGTCATGTAGGTGTCTTGCAATCCCTTAATATGTCATATTGTCCTCACATCTGCATTGCATAAATAAATTTGGGCACTCCCACTTTCTAAGTCATATGTGTGACACTTCACAATACTTGTGGGCACAAGGGTGGAGCCAGAACTTTTCAAAAGGGTGGGCTAATATTTTGTTAATTGAAAACAATTAAGATAAGCTACATTGGGAATTGCTACTTTGGAATTTTTTGGGCTTCAAGGAGCTAGAAAAATATGGGTTTTGTGTACTGGCTAGCTTTAAAAATGAAGAAACTACATAGATTGGTAGGCTAGAGTTGCAATATCCTAAAATATTGTGCTGTAAAAAGTATTTTGCATCAAGGTTGCATTGGGCTATAGTCTAGGGCAGCTAACATGTAGCTCTGCCCTTGCGTGGGCAGTTGCATTGCATGTAACATTTTATCTTATTGTGGTTCCTGGGACTGATCTTTTCATTCCTTGTTGGTACCAGTATGACATGACTCTGTGTGCAAGGTGCTATGTTCGCGGGAATTATCAGATTGGTGTAACTTCTTCAGATTTCAGGAGGGTTGAGATCAATGAAGAGATGAGGAGTGATTGGGCATATAAAGATACTTTGCATCTTCTAGAAGCTCTCATGCATTATGGTGACAATTGGAGGAAGGTTGCACAACATGTCGGTCGAAGTGAGAAGGAATGCATCACTCATTTCATTAAAATTCCTTTCGGTGAAGAATTTATTGCTGATTTCGATTCTGGGGATTTCTACTACAAGAATAGTAGTCCTTTGAAAGACTCTCTGGATTCCAAATTTGGAATGGAGAGTAATGGTACACCATCCCCAAGTAAAAGAATGCGTCTCACACCTCTTGCAGATGCAAGCAACCCAATAATGGCTCAGGTGATACAAGTAGAAATAAGTTCCCTTGCCTTTCTCTTATTTAACTGAGTAAAGTTCTAAAATGAATAGGCACAAAGCATATTTTCGTTAGGTCACCTTGAGCATATAATAGTTTTGATTTATTTTCTTTAATTAATAATACATGTGACTTCTCATTTCTTGCGTAAATGTGTTCTCAGAAATTTCTTTTTATTTTTTCATTTTGCAAAATTCAGATAACATTGATTTTTGTATAATCTCTCTTTCCTTTCAGGCGGCCTTCCTGTCAGCTTTGGCGGGCATAGAGGTTGCAAAAGCTGCTGCTTGGGCGGCTGTAACAACCCTTTGTGAGGCGGATTATGAAACAAGTAGACTGAGTCTAGGATCTCGGGCTTGGAATGCAAGACAGCATGGTGTGCTTCTTGTTAAAAACCCTTCTCTAGCATAATGCTCAATTAGTTTATTGCATATGGACCCGAACTTGTCATGGGATTTTCTAAAATATTGAATTTACTAGCACTGGGAGGACAATCCTATAAATTTACTTGGTGAAGAGAATTTTGTGACCATCAAACTCCAAGTAGAATAATGGCTTGCTTTCTTACGCAGAAGTGAATGTTGAATCCAATGGGGACACCAACCTAGATGAACTGGGAGGTGCTTTTGTAGATGCAAATTCACAGCTTGAAAAGGAAGGGATGGATGTGGAGAGAGCAATTTCTGGGATTACAGAGGTGCAGGTATGTGAAATTCTGGGGTTAGTAGTACGGTACTCTTTCTAGTTGTAAACTATTTTCTAACCATCGGAAGTTTTGCAGATGAAAGAGATTCAAGAGAAGATTGTTCGTTTTGAGGAGTTAGATTTACAGATGGAGAAAGAACGGCAAAAACTGGAGCAAATGAAAAACATGCTCTTTGTTGATAAGCTAACACTTTCATTTCATAAAACTTGTGCACAAAAAACTGAAGGAATGGAGAAGAATATACAAACAGACTGATTTTCCGTAGTTTATGTATGTTTATAATCATCTAGTTTTATGTTCAAAACACTGTCCATCTAGTTTCCTCTCGCTCCTCCCCTCTCTAAAGCAGAAAAGGAGAACAAAAATGGAAAACAAAATCGCTGCCCCCAAGTTGCCGTAGGGACGACTCTAAATTAATTACCAGGATTTGATTGAATTGGAAATATTTGAGTGGCACTTATAGGCGTTTCTAGGAGAATATAACTCGAACATCTGCCTGATTTTCGAACACGAGGCATGTGGATACATGCGTTTAGGGTTTGATTTGTAAGATGTTGAAGTTGCACTCCAACATAATCATCTTGCACTATTCTTGAAACTGTTATAACAGAGGAGAATAGAGCCAAGCTCCCAAGTCATAAACTTTTGTATCATATTTGATACATTATGCACGTTGTTTCATATAATTCATAAGTACGGTTGGGGCTCAAAACCGATATTAGAGTGGTTCAACTTCAGTTCCCTGGGTATTTAGCAGCATCAGCTAGGATTATTGCTCTTCCAAACGCAGATATATATATATATATGTAATATATATATATAACAAAATCTATAAATTTCCAATCAAATTAAGGTACTGCTACAATAATATCCAACTAAATCCGTCGTCAATTACGCAATCTGTATACATTTAGCAATCTTCTCTTGGCAGCTAGATGTTTGATTGAAATGTATTTCATTAGATTACCACAAAATATTGAGTGTAAAACTAACCCAACCAAAACTGGTAATCCAAAGTTTCAAACTCTGCCTGGAGCCTGGAGGTTATTTGTCAAATGAACTTGAAGGATTTGACAGCCTGCAAAACCAAACAAAACTTGGCACTTTCGGTAAATGAATCAAAGGTCGTCAATCTGGTGTATCATCCTAGATAAGTGTCTAGTCTAACCTCTGCCAGACTGCATATTTTGTCTATGCACAACATATACTTTTACTTTTAAACTCACCTTCTCAATATTGGAACTGTATTTATCTGATTCTTCCTCTACATACTGCAGCAAAACATTGCAATGTCAGCATTGCAGGTTGGCAGGTCTAACATTATAAGACACAAGGGATCCCAATTCCAGAACACAGTGCAATTTAGAAATTAAAATGAGGTTTTCTCTGCATATCTATCTATCTGGTATATAGTTTCTAGTGGAGGCAACTTGCAATTACCTGTCCGGTCACGGTATATAGTCTGTTGTACCAGCCGTTTGTTGCCATCCCAAGAGCTGAAAACAGGTGCTTCACACTTTCACCAGGTTTTTGCAGCGAATACTCGATGAAGTAAAGCCCTGATCATCATCATCATCAATTTCAAATCATTACAATTTTATGAACAATCTTCCGAAGTTGGTAAACTAAGTGATGCTTCATGCCAATACCTTTAGATGCTTTGCAATCTATAAGTTTTGCTGTCACTCCTGCTGGTCTTTGCCAGCTCCTGTCTAATCCGCTAACCTTTGTTTGAAGACCATACAAAAGATTAATGCAAAATTAATGAGTAAATTAACAAGCTTCGGTCGCATTTTGAATGAGCAGAAAGTAATTAAACTGGGAGAAATGAAGGGCCTAGCTACTACTACCTACCAGAGTCTCAGCAAAGGCTTCAACTTTGCCAAAGGATTCCATCTTTGTAAAATCCGGACCAAGTCCCGTGATTACAACGCTAACTGAAGCAGTAGAGCAGCACACACAGCAATTATATATAACCAAGTCCAAAAATCACAAGATTGGTCCAAATGAGATTGAGATTACCCACTTGAGCTATACCCCTCTTCCGGATAGAAAGCGGTTACTGATTTAAACCCAGTTGGTTCTCCAGCACCTACTTGCCAGTCTCCAGAACCAAAATACTAAAGCATTCAGTATATTAACTTGAGGTCTTGTGGGTTAAAGGAAACCAAAATTTTACATAGAAAATTAGATTCACCTTGAGGAATCAATATCTTGAATTTGTTCAGATCATCAGTGTAAATGCGAAAACCCTCGGGCACATCTGAATTAACAAACTCCAAGAAAATTCTTAAAATTCAACTGAGTTACCAAAATCAATATGGAGAGGGAGAGAAATGATCAACTATATGTTACCATTCTCTGCCAACGCATTTGAAATAAGTTCCGGAAACGAAAATGCAGCAAACGTCGTCCCAAGCAAAACTTGTCTTCTCTTGGCTTGACATTGAATGCCAAAACTGGAAAACAAAAGGACGTGATGTAAAGCTATATATTTCTTAAAAGGAAATTGAGTGTGATGATGCTTTATATATACCATGATTCTGGTTCTGGTTCTGGTTCTTTGTTTCTGCAACATTGCACGTAGCTTTTTCTACAAATGGCGATGCCTGAAGAAACAGAGAAGCAACAATTTTAGCTGATTAACTCTGACCTGCCAAGAGTAAAGTTAAGTGGGGAAATTCAGGGTCCATATGGGTGGAGCTGAGGTGAGCGGAAAGACCTGTGTTGTTCGACGAAGGTCGCAGCAGGGGCAGAGAATACGAAGACGCAACGCACGCCATGCCTTTTAGATTGCCTTCTGCCTGCCTCGTTAGTTACTTCATTCATTCCAGCTATGTTGTCGTGGGCCATTATTTCTTTCCTATCTTGATGATATTTTGACAATAGACAAATAAACCTCCAACTTATGTCATTTTGTATGGTTATATATCAGAGTACCTTGTCTACATTTACTTTCAGAATATATATATATATATATATATAAGTGCTGTTATTTCCACCCACCTGTCCTATTTTCTCACTCACCTTATTTTCCCACTCACCATGTAAATTTGAAAAAGTACAATCCTATCTTTCCACCCATCATTATTCTTAAAATATTCCTTAATTATTAATTCAAGCAAATTCTCTTTTCTGTTAAATTGTGTCATTTAAATTTAATTTAATGACTGAAAAGAGCAATTGTTTGCTCTAATTGGAGAGATTTGACAACAAAAACAAAACTAATAGAACAGATTTTCAACATGAGCATCTGATTACATTGGGATTTGCTTCGTGGGAGGAGAAGACTTTTGCCATGTCGATCATTGGGATTTGCTGGCCTCCTACAAATGGGAAGAGTACATGATGACTGGAGTTTCTGATGAAGAACCCATGGTTTTGGCTCAAAACTTTTGGTTATAAAATAAGAGGTTGATGGGTGCTTTGGATTTGATGTTTGATATTTGTGCTTTGGATTTTTTTTAACTTTTTTTAATTTTAAGTTTGAGGCAATTGTTTTATTTTTTAATCATTTTCCATAAGTCCTTAAAAGTCATTTTATGAAGGGGTAAAATTGTCTTTAAAATTTTGAAAATAAGGTGGGTGGAAATAGCAACACTCATATATATATATATATATATATATATATACAGTTCTCTTCAGTTGAGGGATCTCTCAAATAGTATTATTTGAGAGATGGGGCGCTCAGCCGTTGGATCTCTTTTAATAAGCTTGTGTGGCTATGATTCTTTTAAATGTTTTAACCCGTTTTCACACTCTTGACCCACCACAAACTCCACTTACGTAGCTTGTGTAGCTTGTGTACGATTGCCTAGAGATTGCATCAGCCTAAAAACATCGAGTAATCTTATGTTCAATATTAAATCTCGTCTCATCCACATCGTCGGATTTGCGGGGGAGTGTTAGACAACATCCCTGATTTATAGCTAATTGATGTATATACCATTTATATCTCTCCAGTCAACTATATTAATTGTTAATCCATGTAGACTGGAAATTCTTTTATATGTCTTTCCTATTGTAATGTTAACTTGGCTGTATATATACTTTCCTCCAACATTGAGAAGAATAACAATTCAGATTTCACAAACTTGCACTTATAAAAAAATTGGCTTGGCTAACAATAAGAAGGGGAGGAGGACTTGCTGTTGTTTTGGGTGGGATCATAAGAGTACGGATGGCATACCCGAGCAGAATGGGGCCCAAGGCCCAAATTGCAGCTCCAGTGCTCCAAGTCTAGCCTAGGCAAGGGTTGGGTCCCAGAAGCCCAGGTAAGCCCACGGGCAAATTCAGCCTGAGCTACTATCTGGGCAAAATGACACAATGTTGATGTCAGCAACCAAACAAAAATTTGAAAAAAATTTGAAAAAAAATACCAAAAATTCCAGAATTTTTTTTATTATTATTTATAAATACCTAGTCATATTATTTACTTCCCACACCAAAAACTCTATACAAATTTATCTCTTCATATCTCATGTGAATAGTAATTTTCATTGCCATTGCCTTTTGGGGTGGAAACAAAAAGGCAAGAGCTGCCACTATTCATGTGAATAATGACAAACCTTGCCTTGCCTTTGCCTTACCCTTGCCTTTTGGGGTGGAGGTGCTCTAAAAATGCTTTCTACATAAGCGTTCAGGATACACTACTAAGTGTTTGTTATAAGATAAACACTTCTAAACAAGTGCTTATAATCTAGCAAAATTTCTTTCTATTTTATTAAGGTCCTGTTTGATAACCATTTTAATTTTCAACTGGAAACTTGAAAAATGAAAACGAAAAACTTTTACCAAACATGTTTTCTTTTTCTTTTCTTTTTTCGAAAAAAGAGTGAAAATAAAATGGTTATCCAACGTTACTTATAATTTTTACAAAACAAGGTGAAGTAAGCAAAAACACAAAGTGCAGCGTGCGGCGCGGATGACCAAGTAACGTTCATGAGAGCTGTGATGAAAGATTGGACTTAGGAAAAGAGAAGGAAAAAGAAGAAAAGGAGAAAGCGCCAAACACAAGATTGACAAAAAGAAATGTTATCCAAACGGGTTGAGAGCAGCAAATGCGATATACTCGCTTGGTTTGAAGGACCACGTCGACAGCGACCCTCTTTGTTTTTGAATTTTAAAATTGTAACAGCGAGTAATATCAAAGCACAGTCGACAGTCGACCCAAATTAAAAAGCAAACAGCAATGAGGGCGTTGGATTGGAGTAAATGCTAATTAAATTATTAATATATTTTTTGTAAGAATGCAA